TAAGGCCCCTGCATATCTTACATTAGGGGTGTTCCCCATAGTGTAATACTCCTAAAGTCATGGCCTAAGCTAATCAGCATTTCCTTATAAACAATGTCTAGAATCAACTGGTGGACAATTGACAGTTAACTCAGGAAGGGCAAAAAGTGTTCCCTCCTCTCAGAATCCATATTTCCGATGACCGGATAATGTGCTGGATTTTTGGAAATTCAGGGATTTATAGACAGTACTGAGAAGCATTTCCTGAGGGGATTTTTTTACATTTCCCTTGAATATCAAGGATCCAAAGGGAAACCAGAAAGGAAATATGTGGACAGAATGGCAATACCAGAACCCCACATAAACTGCACACATAAACTGCACAAATAGAAGTTTCACATGGCCACCCCGCTGTCAACTCAGCCTGGAAGACATGACTTTGGGGGAAAAACCTCCCAGTTAGGGCTGCAGGGTCCAATGAATTCACCTCACAAGGCCAAGGATCAAAACTGGGTTCTCAGCTCATGGCCCAGCCCCACCCTGCAGGCAGCAGATGATCAAAGTCCCCAATAGTGAAATCATGACACATGTTTCATTTCCTAAGTTTAACAAGCTCAGACCCATTTTCTTCAGGCCTCCTAACATTGACATTTATTCTTTTCTGATCTTACAGGGGTATTAAATTCCATTGATAATAAAAGACTGAAGAATTATTTCAGATAGATGAGGTGTATCTTCATTAAATTCACCTCATTTTTATTCCCTGAATGTATTTCCCAGCCATATTAAGTAAGCAGCAAACACTGGCAATATTTTCCTAGAACAAACATATGTATGTAAAGAGGAACTTTATTATAAGTGAAAGTCTGCCACAGAGTAGACTAGCAGAAAGCAGGGCAGAAAGAGGGCTGAACTTTCAGTTTCAAGACTTTCTTTGAGGGACAATTTTGAACTCAGGGACTCACTCCTTCTAGGAAGGTGCTCTACTATTTGAGGGGTCCTGACAGTCCTTTTTTCTGTAGGATATTTTTGAGTTATGGTCCAAAAACTATTTGACTGCAATCCTCCTGATCTCTGCCTCATGAGTTGTTGGATTAGTTACATGTGTAAGCCATTGTAGACTAGCAAACCCTTTCAAATCCTTAGTAACCTGTGGGAGGGGAAAGCTTTAGGCAGTTTCTGATGGCCAATGGCAAATGAGGAGGGATAAGGGTTCCCCTCTAGTTAGGTTGCTGGATCAGTCCAAGGTGTGAACAATCAAAACATATTTGGAATTTAAAGGAGACTTCAAGGTTATTAAAATTTTATTGCAGCTAGGCATTGCTATCTCAAGAAGACAGAACAGAACCAAATGCACATGCAGCTCATCTGATTTCAATGACTCGGCTACTTCACGCTGTCAACACTCCTCAGGGATTCCCTGATCCTAATTATCTAGAGATATTCATGCTATTGCACAGAAAACTGCATATCTTTGTGAATATTCTTCTTGATCACAAAAAACTGATACTCTTGAATTTTCACCTGATAAATTCTATAATAAATGAATCCTGTTGGTTGATGATGTTTATAAGTTAATACTTCCCTTTACTGATTTCTGCTTTCTTCATATGTCACTTACTGCTGTGTTGAAGTGTTTAAATCAATTTTTTATTTGATGGGACTTGGGTTTGACTTAGGGCTGCACAGTTGCAAAGCACTCACTCTTCTCCTTTGCTCTGGTTATTTTGGAGATGGACAACTATTTGCCCACAATCAACAAGAACTTCAATATTCCCAATCCCAGCCTACCAAGATGCTACAATTACAGGTGGCAGACAGAGGCACACAACTCAAGTGAAAATGTTGATTAATGATTTTCCTGCACTCTGATAAGCATTTGTGATCTTGTAATTTCTTACATGATGTTATCTATAGTTCTGTGGGAATTATTCTTCGTATGGAAATGAAATTTCTAACCCTTTCACCAATAACTCCACACAAAGGTCTTTTTAAAATTTATTTTTGGTGGTAATGGGGTTTGAACTCAGAGCTTCATGCTTGCTATGCAGGTGTTCTACAGCTTGAACCCCTCTGCTAGAACTTTGTTGTGTTTGAGTATTTTTGATATCAACATCCTTCTGTCTCTGTGTCCTTAGGAGCTGGGATTAGAGGTGAGAGTCACCAGTGCCCAGTGACACTAAGGTCTTTATATTTATACTGGCTTTCTTAAACACAAGATAGGATCTTGGTGGTTTAATCTAACATGTCTTTCACTTTATGTATTTAGATAATACAAAATTAAAGGAATAATACATATAGATGGAATTCTAGTAATATATTTGTAAATATTTCCATTGGTTGGTTGTACATGTTTTTGTGGTTTCAAGTTTTCCCTACATCCTCTATTTTTCTCTGATACTGGGGTTTGAACTCAGGGCCTCAGACTCAAGGCACGCATGCTACCACTTAAGCCATTTCATTAGCCCTTTTCCATGTCAGGCATTTTTTTATGTAGCCCTGTTGCATGAGTCTGGTTTCAACCTGTGATTCTCCTGAGTATCAAGGATTATAGGAGTGGACCACAAGTCCCTGGTACCGCCTTCTCATTTTCATTGTGCTTTTTGTATATTCTATTGTACTTTGACTGTTAGGATATCAAATATATGCTTCCTGTTTTTCATTTTCCTACACTTTGCAATGTATATTTGTACTTTATGTCCATGCACTTCCCTATTTTGCTTTATGTGTTTTGTTTGTACATGTGTATTAATATGAATTGAGCCCAATGACTCATAACAGCTAAATGAGTTTTATAATAGTGTGCTACATTGCTAGACTTTTTATTATGAGACAAGATCTCAATAAGTGGCCTTGGCTGGCATTCAACTGGTGATCTTTTGGACAGAGCTTCCACAGTAGTTGGGATCTTAGGTGTGCATCACCACAACTGAGCACTTCATCCACTTTTTTGAATTTGGGCCTTGCACTTGGCAGGGAGGCACTCTAACCCTTAAGGCATACTCCAGGCCTTTTGTCCACTGTGAAATAACATCCAGGTGTAGGAGCAAAGCAGGTATCTTGGAATGCCCCTGAGCCCTCCCTGCCACCTCCATGCAGTTATTCTCATTCATTATTTTCCTTATCAGCAGTTATTAATGGGCTGCTGGAGTGAATAAAGTGGTCAAGTACCTTCATAGCAAGTGTAATGTCCTGAGTGCAAACCACAATAAAACAGAAAACAAAACACAAGCACCCAATACAATATTGAAAATTTCATTGGGGCATGTATGTATGATAACAAATGTGAACAAAGATGAGATTTTGGGGCCTGATTGTGTGGCTTCTTAGGCCACATGCTTATCAAGGTGAATTGCCAAGTCCAAACACCATTATGACTGATAGAGAAAAACGATTGAATCTTCAATTTTGTTAGCACTCTTTGAGTGTTTTTTATTTATAGCCACCTCTTTTCTCCCTAAAAACTTACAATAATTTTTTCCATGGTGTACATGTGATTTATACTCTGAAGATAATCCTCTTTTCATTCTGTCCTTCAGAGTGAATAAACTTAATTGTCTACTGATGAGGTCTGCAAATATGCAGAGTTGTCCAAGGAGAAGATTCTCAAAGCCCATGTCATCTTCTTATATGTTGGACTAGAATTGTGGCTCAAATACTAGCATACTTGCTTTGCAATTGAAAGTCCTCATTTGAAACCCCAGTCTCACCAAATAAAAATTTGAAATGCCTCTTTAAAGAAGACACTGAAGAACATCAATCACAAGATGATTTTGTAAAGGATGGCAAAAGTGAAGTGACTCAAATCATATTCATGGGTGCAAAACAAACCAGCATTTTTTTTGGTAAAAACTATAGCATGTTCCAACGTGCCTGGGATTGCAGGTTCATGAAGGTATTGGTGGAGATGCACAGTTTGAGGCAAACCTGGGCAAAAATGGAAAACCATACTGAAAACTTACTAAAATATCATGAAAGGGCTAGGGGTCTGGCTCAAATCATTGCATCTGCTTAGGAAGAACAAAGGTCTGTGTTTAATAGGCATTGTTGTCAAAATAAATAAATAAAACTAATACTATATTGTGAATGGTAAGAACCATGATATCAGGAAGCCCTGTCAAAGCAACATGTGTTTAACTAGTTCTTCAGCCAAATTGGATGAAGTGTTTCTGGAATGTGTGAGCATGGTCACTAGGGTGTTTTGTTTTGTTTTGTTTTTTGTGGGGTTTTGTTTGTAGTTTGTTTATTGCATTGCTGGTGCTTCACCTTCATCTTAAGCCACTCCACCAGCAAATTTTGGTTTGTGATGGGATGTTTCAAGACATCCCATGGGGTTAGTTTCAAACAACAACCGTACTGATCTCAACCTCCTGAGTCATTGGCCCTTGGTTATGGAAGTGGTTTTGACAGTACTGATTTGATTGGGCAAGAAGGAATTTTTAGTTGATGTTGGTTTTGCTGTAACCCATGCTGATGTTTGGTACAGTGGCAGTGGGGATGGCTACAATGAATTTGGTAATTAAGGAAGCAATTTTAGCAGTGGTAAGATGTTATGCCAAATTTGGTAGTTCTAACAATAACTTGTCAAATTTTGGACACATGCATGGGAGAAAATTGGAGATAGAAATTCTGGCACCTAAGATGCTTGAGCGCAATATTTTGCAAAAACATGAAACCAAGGTTGCTATGGTCAAACTAGAAATAGTAGGCTGTATTACAGGGGCTGAAGGCTCTACTTATTGCTATGAAACAAATTTTAGCGGGAGATAAGACCCAGAAAACCAATGCAGAAGCTACAGTTTACTATAAAATTGTGAACTCAGCCTCTAAAGTGGTAGCCGATCCCAACTGATAGAAGAACCACATGTAACAGTTTCCTATTTCGATTTCACCATTTGTAGATGAATTCGGGAACCTATGCATGCTTGGTAATTGCTTTAGCACTTGGACCACAAAGCCTGCCCAGAAAACATATTTGAGGCAATACTCATGTACATGGGTACAAATTTTGAGGACTGTATATGTGACTTACTCTGTAACAGGCTCTTTACTTCCTGCACAATAGAAATTGTACAGTGAAAACCAAAGAACTGTATTTATTTGGACTTTTCATGTGTGCCCATTCTATTGATGCTGAACTAAAACTAACCCTTTTCTGTGAGTCTCATGACAAGCTATGATTTCAGACATGTGTCCACATTACTGCCTCTCTATATTACATTTAAATGCACATGTATATTCATATACTTGCCCCACTTATATTTACATGCATGTGTTCATATGCAAAAGGTGGCACTACAGTTTGATCTCAGAGCATCATGCTTGCTAGGCAGGCACTCTTACTGCTAGAGCCAGCCCAATGGCAATTTTTTTGTGATGGGTACTTTTAACATGGTGCTTCATGAACAATTTGGCTGGAGGTGGCTTTGAAATGCAGTCTTTTGCATCTCTGCCTCTTATTTATCTATGAATACAAATATGAAGCACTGGCACTGGGATTCCTTTATTGTTGTTGTTTCAAGCCTGACCTGCAGCACCCTATTTTTTTTGTGTGTGATACTGGGGTTTGAACTTACCAGTGTGATCTTTCATATATATTCTGATAATGGAATGAACACATCTATACAAGATTTGACACTGAGATTATCTCATTTGTGTAAAGGAGAATGGCACTTTTACTATGCTAAAAGCTATAGGTTTTCTCTGCAGTGTGGACTTTCATGGTTTCATGGTAGTGAGATAAGTGTATAATACCCACCTTGCTTTCCTATACTTACTTTCTAATGTAAGCTTGTTCATGTTTCTTAAGATCACTGGAAGTAAAAAAGTTTTTCCCACATTACTTATATACAAAGAAGTTCTCTCCTGGATGAGTCCTATAAAGGCAGCAGGGACATGAATGCTTTTTCACATTTCCTATATCCATAAGGTTTGTCTCCAGTGTGAGTTCTTTCATGAATACGAAGCTTACTGGAGTAAGTGTAGGCTTTTCCACATTGCTTACATGCATAGGGTTTCTCTCCAGTGTGAGTTCTTTCATGAATACGAAGGTTACTGGAACAAGTGTAGGCTTTCCCACACTGCTTACATATATAGGGTTTCTCTCCAGTGTGAGTTCTTTCATGAACACGAAGTGTACTGCTACAAGTGTAGGCTTTCCCACATTGCTTACATGCATATGGTTTCTCTCCAGTGTGAGTTCTTTCATGAATACGAAGGGTACTTTTCCAAGTGTAGGCTTTCCCACACTGCTTACATCCATAAGGTTTCTCTCCAGTGTGAGTTCTTTCATGTATTTGAAGATTACCAGAATGAGTAAAGGCTTTCCCACATTGCTTACATGCATAGGGTTTCTCTCCAGTGTGGGTTCTTCCATGTGTCATAAGGTGACCAGAACGAATAAAGGCTTTTCCACATTCCATACATGCATAGGGTTTCTTTCCAGAGTGAATTTTTGTATGTAGTTGAAGGTAACTGGAACAAGTAAAGGCTTTCCCACACTGCTTACATGCATAGGGTTTCTCTCCAGTGTGAGTTCTTTCATGAATACGAAGGTTACTGGAACAAGTGTAGGCTTTCCCACACTGCTTACATCCATAGGGTTTCTCTTGAGTGTGAGTTCTTTCATGACTACAAAGGGTACTGGAACGAGTAAAGGCTTTCCCACATTGCTTACATTCATAGGGTTTCTTTCCACTGTACATTCTTCTACGTTTCTGAAGGTGACTGGCTTGAGTAAAGGCTTTCCCACACTGCTTCCATCCATGAGATTTCACTGCATTCTTTATCATTTCATGGATTAGAAGAACCTTTTCATCAGTGCAGGTTTTCCCATAAGCATTATGTATATAGCTTTTACATGGTTTTAGTATAAGCAGAGTTTCCTTGCTTACAATGTTCTCTGGAGTCTGTTGAAAGTATTCAACATGTTGTTTATGTTCATGCAGTCCCCCTAACACTTCATGTCTATAAAAAAGTAAAGATTACCATCGTTATCCTACTTATGATTTATTAAGAGATGTGATGGTGTTCACTCCTGTAAGGATTTATGAACACAAATGTACCAAATATTCTGCAGCAGAGCCTGAGTACAGCTATTACCAAAACAGTATTTGACAAACTAAATGAGTTTTACACATAGAAATACACCAAGAGGGCTTATTGAGATACCTTGTATCAAAAGCATGTAGGATCATGAAAAACAAGAATGAACATAAGGAAATAGCTTGAAAAATGTGCCAGTTTATGCCATTGCACATAATACTGCAACTCTGATGGAATTTGATATGATATACTTAAACAAGTGTATGCATACAGTGGGGTTATTTTTATATATTGGGCAATTGGACAGTATCTCTTGTGACATCTTTGGATAAACATGTTATGAATACTGGCACATATCAGGTTTTGAATTTTCTGATTCTGGATGCTTAACTTATTTTCCCAATCATACAGAAACTTTTCACTGATTTCAGCAATTTACAAGTGTAAGTTGAACCTCATTTCCTTAATTTCAAACTTGTTTTCATAGGACATTTGATGTTCACTGTTTCAGTTATGAGTAGAAATTACCTCATATTTCTTCTGGGATTCCTGAAGTCCTCTTCAATATTTACATTTTCTTTTGTTTATGAGATATAGACAAAGAGAAATCATTAGTATTTAATCAATATGAAAGAACAATTTGAGACCTCAGCTATTTTCATAATATAATATGATCATGCATGTATAGGAACCATTTCTGTCCCTCTTTAAACACCACACAAGGCAACAAGAGCCAGAACAGTAGTGCATAGTTTGAATAAGGTAATGATGCCATATTTACCTATGTAGGACAAGTTGCTGTAGGTTTCTAGCATCACTTCTCTATACAGCTTCTTTTGGGAAGGATCCAAAAAGCCCCACTCTTCCAGGGTGAAGTTCACAGCAACATCCTCAAAGGTCAGGGGCTCCTAAAATGTCCCACACACATTTGTTAAAAGAATTGTGAGTGTCACAGCAGTGCAAACAGAAAATCTCTGCATAATTAATTCATAACATGGTGTTGTCTTCACATATTCAGTGCATTTCATTTTTGTCATACTCTCATCCTCCATCTATACTCACAGGCATTTTATAGCAATTCTGATGTCTCCCCTAGACTTACTTGTTAAATAGGTCACAAAAATTACATGTTATACACTGTGATTGTAGCAATCTACTAACAAATTCTTTAAACATAGTTCCCACTAGTGAAATATCAGGAGAAAAGAGATTGCATGAATAATATTAGAAATGCAGAAATAAAAGTTTCATTTCCACTGTTATTGCAGAACTGCTAATGGGATGAAATTTCCCAACCTAATATAAACTGCAGAAAGAGGCGAGTGTCCGGAAGCAACTTATTCAACAATATCGTATTCTATATATACTTTTTATGACTATTTGCACATTTCAGCAATGTTCACCCCAGGGAGTCTGTCGTAACATAACCCACAGTGCACTTCTGAATAACAGAAAGCTGGTATGACAAATAATATTTAATATCTCTTATCAAACATTTCTTCTGGCATTAGGCTTCTCCTTGTTGACTGTATCAAGAGAGGACATTTGGAAGCTTCTACCTGGTTTCTTATACACCAATGCAAATTTCATTCTGAATAAGACTCATGAAGGATCAAATAAAATTAGTTTTTGCTTTAGCACTTTAAGGCACAACATAGGAAGGAAAAATGTATCATGTGTCCCTAGAAATAGCTGGATACCAACTCTTCATCATATCATACTATATGTATACAATTTTGTAATTTCAAACTACACCTTAAAACTCATGAACAAGACTATTTTGCTAAGTGTATTGGTGTATAAATAAATTCCAAACAACAATCACAAATAAGTGGATCCTTTGAACCACTCATATAGGCCTAATCTTGTAATTCCACCACAATGATCAAATGTTAAACATTAGAGTAATCTATATAAGAAGAAACACTCTCAAAAAAGAAACAATAATAATGAAGAACTGGACAGAGAGAACAAGCGAAAGTACACAAAGTGACCTACTGTCTAACATTAAAAAACAAAGTTCACACACATTTTCAAGGTCACTGTACTACATGAAAGAGATTGATTCATGACAAAAAACACATCATAAACTGGTGGCTAAAAGCACAAAACCTGGAAAATGCAAGGAAAGTGCAAATCCGTTTTGTCTTTCAAACATACATTGTATTCTCCATTGTCATGAAGAAGGATCCAATTGCATTGGGAGATAGGAAGAATGAAATTTGAATAATTTTGAAGTTATTGTGTCATGGGCTTGTCATCCCAGCATTTATAAACTGAGGAAGCACTAGAATATGTTCAATGTGATCATGGTACACCTCTGCAATTCAAGAGCAATATGTGAAGCCTCAGTCAAAAGAGACACAAAAAAATCAAGAATTCTGAAAGTCACTATCCAAGAACATACAAAATGAATGTGGAATATTAATATATTAGAGAGGCAAAAGAAGAACAAGGACAAATATCTTTAATATAAGCAAAAGAAAAGGATAGGTGTACAGCATACACTAATGAATGAGAATGTGACTGAGAAATTCACATGTGTATTCAACATAAAACAACACATACAAATCAAGATCTATTTCCCTGATTTATGAGTTAGCTGAGTAAAATAAGCATTCAAAATCCAAATATATAAGACAGATAAATTCTCCACTCACATTTCTCTAATTCTAATTATGAAACAAAGTCCTAAATTGTATCCAATATCCACTGGATGTGTTATGAATGTTAATGAGAACTATTTATCACATCCTGGAGAAGACATCATGAACAGACCCCAAAACCATGACAACTGAAACAAATGTGAAAATTAAGTTCAATATCACGTGTCATTGCTTATGAAATATACTCAAACACAGCACCCACAAGGCCTTTATATGGAATATATCAAATGCCTTTTCAAATACCAAAGTGTCAAAAATAGTAGAAAACTTGCTAGTGGACAAGATGGAAAAAGTAAGGAAAGATTGAAGTGGTAGCCATCTACTGTAGTAATGTGAGTACAGGCCTTTTTATTCATATCTACCATGGCATCTATATACCTCCTCTGCATGGATGAGCAGATCTTTCTATGTATTTTAGAACTATCCTGAGATTATTTCACTGAATAATTTCCCGTGTTTTGTCAGTTGTTTTGTCCATCACCTTTAATGTCAAATATTTATGTGTTTCATCATTTAATCAATTTCCAAAGGTCTCAAAAGTTGTGGTCATCTGAATATCAGAAAGTGATACAATAACCAGATTGAAAAATTTTACTAAATGCACACCAATATTCTCAAATATGCAAAAGCATTCTGGTAGCAGCAGGAACCCAAAGTTGTCTTTCTGTTAGATTCTATGAATGAAAATGCAAACGACTGAAAACTTACACAACCAAAACAATCCTGATAACACCAGTGGTTAATACCACCATCCCACAATCCTTTATGTTCCCATCATACTTAGATACTCAACAAGGGAAGCACACATTTTGATTCTTCCATGTTCTACCTCAAATTCAGCATCTTACTTGATCTGTGGAAAAAGAACACTAACTATACAAAGTTTCCTAATGAAATTATCTCCTCTTTCCAGGCCTGAATTGTCTGGCCCACCCTCAGCCTGAGCCACTATATCAACCCCTCCTTTACTGTCGCCTGAAACACAGTCTCAAGGCTAAGGATCTCTCATCCAGGAGCTAATATGGCCTCCTTCATAACCGATCATTTCCCATGTTCTTTATAATACTCTTTGCCCCTCCCTTGAAAACACAGTCATTCTTTCCCTTGCACTGAAATACCTACACACTCTGGTGGTGGGGTTGTCCTGCCATGGAAACCCTAAGTACCTCAGTCTTACCTCATATGCATTTCACTTTTAGAAAATGTTGTCTAGACACAGGCCAAAATGGCTATCAATTATGTTCATTAACCTTCAACAAGTCACCAGTATGTCCCCTATATTCTCAACCCCAAGGGCAAATGAACCACCATTGCTGTGAGTTGTACAATGTGAGTTCTCTGTAAATTTAGGGATTTACTACAATCCTAAGTAGCATCTGTTTGTGGATTCAAGACACTGATCCTAAATTTGTATATAATTCAGGGCCATCAGTTTTACCCTAAGGAGTTTGGTAGGAGAGGGGACAAATAGGACCACAGCTTTTCCTGGTAGGAATATGCCACTTCCCATCATCACCTCATCTAGGGAGAGTACCCATGGCTACATGATGGATCAGTTTATCCAGAACAGAATGACAGGGTCCTACTCACCTTCACAGTTCCATACCCTCCAGAGAAGATCCAGTGCACAATTCACTGCAGGCAACTAAGACCACAGACTGCAGTGCTGTGGCCCTGACACATTAGATCAGTGTGACAGGAGAACAGATACCCATCTGGTAGAGTGCCAGGACCAATAAGTGATTTCAAATACAGCCTTTAGCAGACCAGTCTTCCTCCCTAGACCTTATGTTCCCCCACCTGGGGATGCATTGTACTAAAACAGGATATGCACCCTGCTTTTCCAAATGCACGGTTTCTTTCATATGGACATGCAGCCAGGATTCTGCTCAGAAAACCACACATTCAGCATCTAAAGAGAGAGCCTCTGATTTCACAGAAGGAGCACTTTCTGGGAGAGGGCAAGTGTGACCTGGCATTGTCACACCATGTTGGTATCAGGCACTTCATTTTATGGACAAGGATTTCTCACACCTTGTCCAACAATCCACCCATTATCACCCAAGAAACTAAGAACAAGCTGGGCACCAATGGCTCACACCTGTAATCCTAACTTATCAGGAGGCAGAGACCAGGACGATTATGATTTCAAGCTATCCTGGGTAAAAGGTTTGTGAGACCCTATATTGAAAAAAACCCTTCACAAAAAAGGACTGGTGGAGTGACTAAGGGAGTACAACCTGAGTTCAAGGCTCAGTTCTGCTGAAAAAAAAAATCTGCAAGAACATACCAATAAGAAGCACAATTATTAATTACAAGAGAAGCTGTAGGCGTCATGCCAACTCCATGTTCAAGAAAACACCAAAGTTAATAAAACCTGTGTTCTAGCACACAGAACCAAATGTTTGTTTTTCCACTGTACTTCACAGGCTTTTCAGCTGTCACAAGGTACATTCTGGAAGACCAACTCTCTTAATGAAAATGCAAACAACTTGCTGGTACAGAGGCCCAAGTGGTAGAGGGCCTACCTAGTGGAGTGTGAGAGTCTGAGTGCAAAGCACATACCACAAGAAAAGAAAAGGCAAGCAGATGAAATCTTACCAAAGCAAAGTAATCATAAAAAACACTGGTGATTAAAGAACACCATATTTCATGTTCCCAGTACACTTAGATGACTATCCTCAGTAAACCTGAAACAAGATAGGGCTCAAACTTTTGGTATTCCCACTTTCTGCCTCAAAAATATTACCTTATTGGTCAGCAGAAACAGAACACTTAATAAGCAAACATTCCTGAACATTGTCTCCATCTTACACACCTGAAGTCTATGACCTACTCTCAACCTGAGGTACCACAACAACTGCTTCTTTTTGGTCAGCTGTAAGACAGTCTCAGCTCAAGAGAAAAGATCTCTGGTCCAGGAGTTGATGGTGTGCCCTCCATTGTCCTTCCACTCCCACAGTGCTCAACTACAGTATGCTCCTCCAAAGTAAGCACAGCCCTGCTCTACCTCTCTTGGGAACCTGCAGACCTCAGAGTTGGTGCTGCCCTGATACTGTGACTTCAATAAGGTCAGTCCTGACTCTGTCTGAAATTAATTTTTAACATACTATCTAGACAACTCCCATTATGTCAGAGAGGGCAAAAACTTCAACTCTTCAACAACTTTCCAAGATCTCCCCTTCACCATGATCCCCACATGTACATTCACAGCCTCAAGAAGAACTGGGCTGTGGACTGAG